TTCTATACGAATATCTGTTAACACGTTGACGACGAGCCATTTTTTTGCGGTCTGTCCCTGTGGACGAGACGTTTCCATGCATCCCTACGCGTGGCCCATGTATGTATGCATGCATCCATGCACGAAGTACAAAATGTGCAAGCCCCGCCCCCTCTGGCAAGCTCCGCCCACTCGACCAAAAATGTCGGAAATTGCCCAAATTTCAAGAATTTATGCCACTTTTGAAAAGTGGGCGGAGCTTGCAACTCAGGGGGCGGAGCTTTCCTGACGGTGGGCGGGGCCTGGCTAGAAGCTGTTGAAGTCTTTGCGTTCATCTACAGCCTCATCCATGCTTTTTGTGAACAAAAGGATCCTTGTGAGAGGCATAAAAGTGGGCGGAGTTTGCCAAAAGGGGCGGGGCTAATACATGAAGTACATCTGAACCTATGTTGATTATATGAACAAAAACTGAGAGGATTGTACAGACAGTATTGAATTTAAGGCCGCCGCGCACCATTGCGCGGCACTGTCGTCAACGTGTTAAGTGATAAAGGAGGCGAATTTATCGTGATGCCGCAGACTTTAGAACAACAAATCGCTGAACTGCATTTAGCTGACTCGACAGTCTATAGTCCTGTCTCTAAGAAAAATTATCAGAGCTAATATAGAAACTAAACTACGTTTGGGCTAACGTGGGAAGATGTGCTGGCTTAGATAATGGTTTGTAAGCAGGTTGAAGTTAGATTCTCTGTGGTGCCCAGTTTTCTAACATCTGATAAAAACACGCAAAACTGCATTGCACGATTTACGCTCTATTTCACCGGAAGTCTTTAAGATTCGACCCATAATCAGCTGTGTTGAAAGACCAACGGATCGTATCTCATCGTTTCTGAATAAAACCGTGAGGCAACTCTTGACAAGGGTACCCGCGCACTTATTATACTCAGCAATTCCTAGAGCAGCTGCACAAGACGAAGTTTGAACATAATGCTTTCATGGAGTCCTTTGATGCGACTTCCCTGTACACCAGTGTTCACAATAATACATTACAAGCTCTTTCGGAGATGTTGGATAAGCACATGACGACGATCTGTACCTTTGGACTAAGGGCCGCATGCACTAACCTCCCCGCTGGGGAGGGGATCGCAGCTTAAAAGAAAGTTTTATATTTCGAAACTCCAGATACCTGGATTACACATTGTGTACCTATCCGTAAGTATTCCTACTACCCTTCACTATGAACATGTTGAACAGGAGCGAGAAGCTGTACGAACCGCATTTTCCAGCTTTTGTATGATCCCTGATGATCCCCGGCGCTTTTCTTAAAAGTCATTTTTCTTTCTCCGAAGTTAACGAAAACCTTCCAAAGTTGTACCGAACATTCAACACAACACTGCTAAGCATGTTGCTGATGAGAACAAATGAGTTTTTGAAAAGTCGAATTTTTAGGTAAACCTCAAATTTCGACCTGCGGATCATCGAAAATTTCATGGCTTTAAAATATCATTTGTTCTTATCAGCAACTTGCTTAGCACTGTCGGTTTAGATAATCTGCACAACTTTGGAGGTTTTTCGTTAACTTCGGAGTTAGAAAAATGACTTCAAAGAAAAGCGCCGGGGATCATCAGGGATCATACTAAAGCTGGAAAATGCGGTTCGCACAGCTTCTCGCTCCTCTTCAACATGTTTATAGTGACGGGTAGTAGGAATACTTACGGATAGGTACACAATGTGAAATCCAGGTATCTGGAGTTTTGAAATATAAAGCTTTCTTTTAAGCTGCGATCCCCTCCTCGAGGGGAGGTTAGTGCATGCGGCCCTAAGTCAAATGCAAGTACTGACCCTCTTTCAGGCATGTTTACATTGTAGCATGTTATAATGGTGTGGGAGATATTTCTCTCAGATACGAGGACTTGTAATTGGCCAACGCCTGGCGTCAGTCCTCGCGGTATGCTTCATGAGTAAAATTGTAGAGCCAATGCTTTATGCCATTGATGTATTGTCGCTACATCGATGACTGCTGTGTGCTAACATCAACTCAATTCGAAATGGATGAGTTATTTAAGGTGCTAAACCAGCAGTCCCAATACATCAAGCTCACACGAAAAACCCCTCGGAACGGATACCTTAGCACCCAGATTACCTTATTCGATGGTGTTTTCCATGTTGGGTGGAAGCTGTAAGAATATTTTGGTCCATGCAAGATCAGCTCACTCCGTAGAAATGAAAAGAGCAGTAATCCATAATATGATGAGAACGGTGTGCATGGATTACGAAGAGCGCTTGACCATGAAAGCTTGCATCATAAATCGCGTGCAACAATAGATATATTTTATAAAAACAACAACGTGACTTACGTGCGCGTTTAACAAAACATACCCGAATGACCGTGATAAGATATCTCTTTGCATTCCCTTTATCTCAGACGAAATTAGTAGGCAAATTAAGCAATGCATTCGTAAGGCTCAACTACAGAAAGATGTAATGCTTGTTAACACCCCAAGTAGTAGTTTGAAGAAGCAGTTGGTGCGTAACAGACTTTATGATAACGAGTGCATGAGAGCATTGTATAATTTTTCTTACGGCAGAACAGGAGATTATACAAAGATTGGTGTGATGTACGAACTAGAATGTCTCAGCTGCCAAGAGCGAAAGGCGAGGGACTCCAACAGCACCGCTGGGAGGAAGACACAAGATCGAGGCGCACTGCGGAAACGATTTCGAAGTCAAATGCACGATACTGGCATGCAAGACTGAGATTTGCGCCAGGAAAATATTCAAAGCCGCAGGGACTTCTCTAAGAAATCCAAAGATGAACGTCAAAAAGAATGTTTGTCTAACAGCTTTGATTCAGCTCTAATCATATCATTATGTGGGCTTAACGTTGCACATAAAAGGCTTGACTCACTGGGTGACACCCAGTGACGTCCGTTAGGACCAAATGTGCGGCTTGTCGCCAGCCAGTGGAGTCGAGTTCGTTCGTTTCGTGACGTTGAGGATCTCATGCGAGTTATAGACTAGGTCCAGACTGACAGAGTGAGAGGAGGCGCTTGAAGGTATGGTGAGCAAGTCAAAGAGCCTAAATCCGTTTTCAGACCTGATGACGACGACATTGTAGAAACGTAAGGTCAATAAATTCATTACAGAATCTCCACCTCAGAATCTGAAGGCAGAGAGTACTGACACGATTACTCTACAAAAATCTTATGTCATGTTTGTTTATCCTATATACAAAGCTAAATCTGTTTGTGTCTGTCTGCATGTCTGTATGTCTGTACATATGTTTCAAATAGAAAATTCCTTTTTTGAACCGATCCCGACCAAACCTGGCACACATACACTTCGGGTCGAGGCTGATGTCGTAGGCTACTTTCCGTTATCGATCGATATCGGTTTTATCGACTTTGCAAAGTTTGAGCCACTTCTGGGAGTTGTCAGAGGGGTAATCAAGCATGCTGGTTACGAATACAATATTATTTTTCAAAGTTATCAATTACTTCTATCTCAAAGCTCGAAGAGGGTTGTAATTAACACAGTGAGGTAAGTGGGCATGCCGATTACGACAATATTATTTTTCAAAATTATCAAATACTTCCATCGGTTTTATCGATTTTTTTGCAAAGTTCGAGCTACGATGGAATCGGCACAGGGCCCGGCACGAGTCGGTTTCTAGGGTTTCGGAATACAAACTTTCTTCTAACTTTCGGAAGTTTTACGAAGTCCTCCTTGACCTACCTACTCGAGGAAAGACGAAAACAAGAGAGATTTAGTCTGAAACAAAACGTGAGGTAAGAGTGAAAATCCAAATTAAAGTTGAATTTTACGCATGCACAAGGTTTGGCATTGAAGCACGGTGTTTAATAAAGCGACTGATGAAGAAAGTGAGGCGAAAAACAAAAAAGGCAATGTTATAAAAATGTCTCAATTCAGTGCTCAGGGATAGATTTTTGATCGAGGAATCCGTCTATGACAGAAAAATCAAAAACTATGTGAAGTGATAGTATTATATGCTCCAGACGGTCTCATCGTCTGGTGGCCGTCTGGAGACGGACTGAATTTAAGGTATTACCTTCACATAAGTTACTAAAGCTTTTTATTTAATTGCAGATACTTTTTTCATGTATACAGTTCAGTTTTGATGTCACATAATGCTGTGTGCCCTGTAGACAAGCAATTTTTTCATTTCACTTTCAAATCTTTTCCTTGTTTTCAAATCGCGCGCGCTTTTGGCCATATACGATGGAACTTGTCAATCGTGTGATGACCTGTTCGAAAAGCTTGTGTTCGACTAAATGGCGCTTATTCTTGTCGCTAGGACCGACTGTCAAAAACGATATCTCCTTTGCTTTTTGCTCCAAAAACGAAGTCCAGCCTGCTTCCAGGCGATCTGTGCAGGACCATGAATTGGCACAGGGGTAAGTGAGCATGCTGACTACTAACACAGCGGGAATATGAATTCGAAGTGTAGAAGTGGTTACAGGGAAAGTTTGTACAGGGATAGGGATGGGACTTCTATCATAGTATTTTGACAGGCCGGGCGGAGCCGGGTGAGCCAGCTAGTGCCTTATATATGCCAGATACCTTACATAAAACATAACTTTTGAGTATGCAAAGAATGTATTATAATCAATCGAACAGCAAATTCCTTCTGATATACTTACCATAATTTCCATTTTCTTCAAGAGAAATGCCGTGAATTAGATATTAGCATGTCAATAGTTCTTCAAAAAAAGAAGCAAAATAGAGCGGAAGAAAGACAGTGAGAATGGGCTTATAATATACATTATCAGAGTCCTTGTAAACTCGAAAGGTATATATGCCTTGTGTTGTTGCCAGAAGTCACACCTGCTTTCTTCCTTTTGATATTTTCCGTTTGACTCACATAATTATCAATAGGCATAGAAAATTTTTACACTTTTCGCCAATCCCAGGAAGTTCCAATTTGTATTTAATTAGGAGACAGTGCGGTTTAGTTTGTATATCTTATGATTTTTAACCTCTATATAAGATTTGTTTTCTTTAGATCCGAGACCTCGCAAAAATAGCACGATGCTGTTGCTGCTGGTAATATTTCAGACATAAATAATTTCCCGACTTAGACCATGTTTTCAGATGATCACAGTCTTTCTGCATACAGAAGAGGCGGGTAAGAAATCACGAGATTGAATTGGGGATTTTGATCTTTCGGGCTTCCTATTTCATGTTGGGAAATGAAGAAAGTAAGCGTTGTCGATTTCAGCAACCGCAACCTGCAAACTCGATGCAACTGTGGTCGAGGCTGTCACAAAATCTCACAATGAGCTCAGAGCAAACGTTGCCAAGCGCAACCTAAGCACTGCAATTTTTGGAGACATTCCTGGGTCAAAAACTCTTTTCAAGCTGGTAAGTGTAAAATAAGCACGAAAATTTGAGTGAAAGGACATGCCTAGACTATGTTTCATATGATTGATTCGTGTGCTCAGCTGTCTCTCGGCATTATTTAGTTAACAACACAGAGTTCGCACTTTGAAGTTAACTTTTTGCAGAGGTATGATTGTGCAAACGAAGGACTTGCTCTCGCCACCATTGGAAACAAATGCAAGCATTCCAGCATTTACATGGACAAAGTTGGAAGAGGCGAAAACTTTATTACGTATGGCGTCAACAAGAGCTGAGCAAGAACATTATGTTATGTCTATCTTCTTACAGATATAGACTGGCTAAGAAACCAAGTTTAAGTAAACAAAAGGATCTTTTTGCGTTTGCGGTGGAAGACTGGACGGATACGGTAGAAGAACCTTTGAGCTCAGACGTGGTGTATACTGACACTTCCATGGAACCATTTGCTAATGTGAGCTTTCGCTAGCTTCCGTTATCCATTGCAAATTAAAAGTTTGATTTCTCTACATTTATAGATGATCTACAACAAGACGCTGAACTTTGGCTGCTCATTTCTATTCTGTAACGAAACGAGCAAAGTTGCTCTTGCTTGCGTATACGATAACAGGTAAGCAATTTACTTCGAGTCAAGGAATAAGAGCTCGGGATATCGCTCATCAAAATCGTGAGAAATTTTTTTAACTTTTTAGCGTAAACTCACGCTTCGTAAGTGCCATCTGCTCTTATTGTAGTATATTACATTAAAAACTGAGAATTTTTTAGGCCAAAGGAAGGTGAACCGCTTTACTGGGCAGATTCGAAAAATAATGCTGGATGTCAAAAACCTGGACCCTGCAAAAAGGTTATCAAAGGAACAGATGTGAATTGCGATACCACCTATGGACTTTGTGATCAGGATCCCGCCACTACCACTACCAGTAAGTTAATGTTATAGTTAAAAGTGACTGAGTGGAATATTTTGCAATGATATATGAGCTCTTTCTTTCAGCTACTCCACAAGCAGCAGATACAACAGTCTCGACAGACGATACAGATGAGTAACGGTTGTGATTATAGAGCGTTAAAGACTTGAAAAACGAGTATGAGAGAGCAATAAAAATTTCCTGCGTAATGAGCAGACTTTGAACAACCAAAATTTATTCAAATTGCTTGTCGCAATATAATGACGGCGGCATACACTGTCTTGCCCTCTTTTACACCCTAAGTCTCGTTCTTTCAGAACCACTGGTTTGTACAACTTTTGCGAGAAATAAAAGAAACTCGCAAGAGCTATTTACGAAAAAGTTGTTTTAAAGCAGCCAACACTACCCCGCGTTCACATGTTACAGCAACAAATTGGTCATAAGTTTTTCCCCACCCAAATTTTTTTGGGCCAACTATTTGCAAATTTTGGAGTGGAAGTACTGCTGCACAACTGTTGCATAGTTCTATTATACATCTTAGGAATGATAATCTTTGATTAAAGAGAAATTTAAAAATTTAGGGCAAAGCCCAAGATGTTAAGCTCACGCTCACAACAAAAGTGAAAGTGAATGGATTTGGTAACTTGTGTATCAACTTGGCAACTAGGGCAAAGATACAAAATTGGGCTTAGTCTAATAACATCGTTTCTCAAAGCTGTGGATTCAGACTTGAGTTTCAAAAACCCAAAAAGAATGATTTGGTCAATTACCAGAAGCGCATAATATGTACGCAAGGAGCCGCGCATAAAACTGCGCCAGTATCGTGTCGAAGTCATTTTGATTACGATGACATTGTCAGCTCTTGCAATTCGCTTAGTTTCCAGTGTAAGCCAAATTTCTGTCGTCTCCGCTGGTCTTCTTTGGTCGTCTGCACCTCCACTTTTCGCTCACTGCTCCACTGCTCTCTTGTCTAAAATTCAACTCCCACGCAGAAGCGCATTCAGCTTTATATATGGTATGCTTAGCCCTTGAATCCTGAAGAACTCAAACTCGATTATTTTAGTCGCACTTCACCTTTTCTTTCTGAATGTCTAAGCCGACAACGTGCTGAGCTCACCAGCACAAGTTACTGAAGAGACACCCCGCGTTCAATCCGTATTAGCCGCTCCACCTAACTTACGCTCAAACCGGTCACCGTATTTTGATATGGTTTTTGTATAGAACGATTTTCAAGGCAAAGGAAATAAAAAACAATAAAGGCGGCATGCATCCACATCTCCGCTGGGGAAGGAAACCGACTCGTGCCGAACCCTGTTCCCATGCTCTGATACCAGAACACAATGAGTGGGGATATGATACAATCTGAGCTGAGTTTTTCACTGTTTTATGTGGTCCCCTGGGGGTCTCCAGGAAATCAGGTCATGTTTTTAAATGCTTCCATCTTCTCGGGTACTTGGTAAAAACTTCGTAAAGTTGTACTGGAGATTTGGTATGGCACTGTAACGCTTTATAGTGAGACCATTCTCAAAAATCTCAGATTATTAGAACCTTCGAACCATTGTTTGCCAGCTAGTAATTATCGAAAAAGTCACAACCTCCACATTCCATTTGTCCTGTCGAAAACATGCCCAGCATTACCGTAATAAGTCCTCAGTTTCAACTTTTCACTTTTTGGAAAGGTAAACGATTCTAAACACAGGGGCTGTTTCTCTGGGGAGGCCCAGGCAATCACACAGAACGATAATGGCAATGTTCTGGGGTTTATTGTACTCAAATAAAAGGGTATGGGAATCTCTATAAGGCAGATTGACGAAAAAGAGTACTTATGTATAGAGCAGCGAGATATGGCACGTCTTTTCACAGTTTCCCTTCCCGGTGGGAATGTACGGGTCTTAATCGGATCAAATCCCGCAAAAAAGCATATTCCCACTTCAAAATCGTTAGAGAAATTTGCGAATAAAAGGCACTAACCTTAGCGTAAGGTTAACGATAGGTAGTTGAGCTTCTGCTGAACATACACCTATCTCGTAGTATGCCCCATTGCTCTCTCCCTTTATAAGGAAAGGGTACCATTATCTGGCAAATCGAAAAGACACGTATATTACTAGACTCCTCTTTAAAAGTGGAATCTGCTTACATTTTCTGCGGGAAAACTCTTCGAAAGAAGATATTTGATCATGTATTTATGTTGGATAGCGCGGATCACCGACCTAGATCTCCAGTGGCGGGAAGAAAAGCCCGCGCTGATCCCTTCAGCAGGCTATAAATATCGGTGGATAGGGGGGAGCAGGCAGAGCGTGAAGAGAGCGCTCCAGGGAGTTTAAAAGAGCCGTCAAAGAGAGGCGGACCTCCCCCCTTAGATAGAGAAAAGCTAGAATACCCTGCTGAGCGGGTCAAACCGGGCTAGAAGGACCCATATTCGTTGTTGAGTGTTCAAGTTGTTCTATTGTTGTTCATTGTTGCCATAGAGATAAATATCTTTATTCTAACCGTGTCCTTATTGATCGATCCGGTTCAAACCGTCAATACCACTAGACAACCCCCGTTACAATTATATATTTAATTGATACGCACAAGGTGCAAACGTGCACATCCAATACAATAAACGAAAGCACCACAAAAACACAACTAACATTAAAGAAAGTAAGAAAAGACTCATCCAAGTCAGCTCATGTTCAGCCCGCGAAGGTTTTTTTGAGGTAGAAAGAGATCAAGTTCGTGCCTGGGAGCAAGTGATTAATTTTGTATCAAGTAACCTTATTTCAACTGGCTTGGCGGCTAATGCGGGGCTTCGAGACCTTTGATTCAACTGGCTTGGCGGCAAATGCGGGGCTTCGAGACCTTTGATTTAACTGGCTTGGCGGCAAATACGGGGCTTCGAGACCTTTGATTTAACTGGCTTGGCGGCTAAGGCGGGGCTTCGAGACACCTTTAATTCAACTGGCTTGACGGCTGGAAGTGGGGCTATGTGACCTAATTAAGGCACCTGCGCCCGCGACGCTTCTGCGTCTCTCTCACGCGCGTGCTCTCTGATCATTATCTAGCCTTAATTAGGTCACAAAGCCCCGCCTTCCAGAAGCCAAGCCATTTGAGTCAAAGGGTATATTGACTACAAGGATGGAACGCAATCAGTAGAGACCAGCTTAGGTATTTCTGCACAGCTTTTCGCTACTAACAAGGAAAGGATACTGGGTCACCGTGGCCATTTGGAATGCGATGTATACTGTAAGATGCACCTCGAAACGCTGATTCCAAGTCTATGTACGATATCTGCGAAACGATCTTCTGAAGAAAGTTATGAATTTTTTTTTCGTAGAAAATTTGCGTACTTTTCAAAGTTAAAATCACCAAATGTGTTTTAAGTTACCATATTTGAAGCTATTGAAGAGAATCTCAAAAGGATACTTTGTATTATACCTATCTAAATCATAGTCAACATTTGAAAAGGAAAGAAAGTTTTTCTTGATGATTTTGACCCTCCGCAGTAACGCGGTTTATTCATGGAAAAATAACCATAACTCCATTCAGATTATCGTTTCGCAGATATGGAAGACAATATTCGAACCAGCATTAAGAGGCGCATTTTTTGATATACGAATCATTATAAATGGCCGCGGTGACCAGTATCCTTCCCTTGTAAGGCTGCTACTACCAGTCATCCCGATCCGTCCAATCATTTGAGTGCTAGACCCTAAAAATTATCCTGTTGCTGGTACCAAACCAGTCAGTTAAGGTAGTTATTAGTGGAATGAAATCAATCAAAGTTAGTAATTGCTTGAACCGGGTAACATTTGCAGCTTCTTGCAAGACTGCAACCGACGCCAAGGTGAATCATCCGGATATGACCAGTTGTCCTCTAGCAAACTCGCACTTTTGCAATCTGAACTCGCCATTCGAAGAACAGCTGTCCGGTGCTGAGTCTACAGCTGCAATGTTGCTATTTTGCAATCGTCGTTGTGCTTTTGATGATCTGTGCTCTTTTTATTGCTTCCACGGGCTACTCTCGTAACTTGATAGAAATTGGGTTCGGACTAGTACATATGGGACAGAGTTGATGGAGTGGTCCATACTTGGCCATATTTGCTCGTTAATCTAACCCATACTTTACAAATCTACTTCTTCCTATAATCTCCTTACTATAAAATCTTATTTAGGTGTCGTTTTGACATCTTTTAATCAACAGCTGCAGTCTTTTACTTTCTTCTGAGTATATTTATCCTAAACATCTTTAAATACTTCTGGACCCAGACTGCGAGTGTTATTCATAATGAAATCTCGAAAAGTTAATTAGAACTTATGCAGAAACAGTTGTGATCCCTTTACATAGTCTTTGCCTTCAAGATTTTTGAATTTTATCTCTAGACTTTATCTTAGAATTGCCTTGGTAATGACAGTACTAGTCATAATTTACTTCATTAAAGTTCTGGACTTATAACAGAAACCGAGTAGTACCCAAATTCGGATGATTTTTTTTTGCGAATAGAGCTTTCATTGCGTCTAATTTTTCCTATATATTAAGTTGGTGCAAAAACTTTTGTCAGTTTTTTCAATCTATCGGCAACACGCTAGAATGAAGATAATTGAACACTTTTTTTTGTATCCGATGCAGAATTTCTTCGTTTTTCCAGCTATTAAACTCTCATTGCGTTTCGTTGCGAGAATGACGAGATATTTGCTGGAAATTACAACCACTCGTTTTTACCATGTCCAAGGTTCAGTAATTTTCAAAATTTTTGTATGAGACTTTCGAGGGACCCTTAACCACCATATAGGGCAAACCTTTTGCCAACTTATGCAATTTTTTTCTTTTTCTCAGCTGCTTTTTCAAATTTTTGCTAAATAATTTTCTAAAAGTCCTGTGTTTTGGAAAAATCGCATAACCTGTTATTGCACCCAAACACTGCCAAACCTATAGAATACTGAGTTTCAACACTCGATTATTACTACCGCTACCATTACAAAGTATATGAGCGATTTTCGCTTCAAATCAAGAAGATTTTGAAACATAGGTTACGGCAGTGCGCACTCCTGAAATTGAGAAATACTGCGATTTTCCCCACAAATTTCGCCTGTCTCGGCAAAAAAAGACAAGTGTTAGAAGGAGGAGAAAAAGTTGAATCGAATGGTGACTGAATTGTTTAACATTTTAGGTTCTACTAGATTAAAATAAGCTTAATGTAAAATTTGGTCACTTCAAAAAAATAA